CTGGAAAAGCTCAGCAGATCTGGCAGCATCTGTGGAGAGAAATCAGAATTGATTGGGTTCTGAGTAAAGGACCCTTGACCCGAAACGTTAACTCTGATTTCTCTCCACAGATGCTGCTAGACCTGCTGAACTTTTTCAGCAATTTATGTTTCTGTTTGAGAGAGAAGCTAAGTTAGGCAGACAAAGGAGTGGTTGATCGTAAGCCAGGGGAGGTGAAAAGCTGATAATGAGGTGAATGAGTGGGTGAAAACAGGTTAGCTGTGCTGAAAACAGCCCAAGTCATGACAGGGCCTGGAGTGTGGGGGTGGGTCAAGGACGTGGAGGCCGCTGTTTTCTATTAGTTAGCCAGTCCTCTATCCGCACTAACATACTACCCCAACACTTTTACTTTTACCTTATTAAGTAGCCTTATGCGCAATACTCGATCAGACACCTTTTGGAAATCCAAACATTACACCCATTGCTTCCCCTTCATCAATTCTGCTTGTTACCGCCTCAAAGCATTCTTTGTCAGGCATGTTTTGCCCTTCGTAAAGCCATGCTGACTGAACATAGAACATAGAACAGTACAGGCCATTCGGCCCACAATGTTGTGCCGACCTATTATCCTACTGAGATCAAACTACTGTGCATACCCTACATTTTACTATCCTCCATGTACCTATGCAAGAGTTGCTTAAATACCCCTAATGTATCTGACTCCACTACCACTGCCGGCAGTGCATTCTACGCGCCCACCACTCTGTGTAAAGAACCTATCTCTGATGTCTCCCCAAACCCTCCTCCAATCACCTTTAAAATCGTGCCCCCTCATAATAGTCATTTCTGCCCTCGAAAAAAGTCTCTGACTATCCACTGTATCTATGCCTCTCATCATCTTGTACACTCTGGTTGCTTTTGATGTTTTTCTACAGGCTCTGCAAATTGCATTCTTTATAATAGGTTCTTGATAAATGACTGCTGTTTGATCGGACTGTTAACGATCCCTTCCATGGCTTTTTTTAATATTTGGTAAGAGATTGATGGATTGGTAATTAGCTGGGTTGGATATGTCTTTTTTTTGTGTACGGAGCATATCTGGGCAATTTTCCAGATCACTGGCTGCATGGTAATGTTGAGGCTGTATTAGAAGAGTTTAGCCCAGGGCATGGCAAGGTCTGCATGCAAGCATTTGGTTCTGTTGCTGGATATTGTCAAGGCCTAGAACCTTTTGCAGTTGTTTCTTGATATCACATGGAATGTATTGAATTGTCTGAAGACTGGCACCTTTGCCAAGGATCAAGCATAAATCCAAATAAAGAAAGACAGTCTTCACATACTTATGATTCTTCCTTGGAAAATGATTTGAAATGTTCACTATCTTTATCTTGTGTCAGTTCATCTTCTGACATCACATTCGATCTGCTGATCCATCAGGCTGTGTTGCTGTCTGACCATCAGTTGAACATTTTATCAATAAGCTCAAATGACTCATACCGCTTATTATCTTTCTCATTATATCTATCATCTTGCAGATTTCGCTGATTTCTGTTGTCTGAATTCAATTCATTGATGATAAAAATTGGAAACGTTTTTGCGAACCCTGTGTTGTCATAATTTTCATAATGAGTTATGAAACCTTCAATATCTTTGGAGATCTTAGGTTTTGTTAAGGGGAGGTCATGTCTGACCAACTTGATTGCATTTTGTTTTGAATAGGTGACCAGGTGTGTAGATGAGGACAATACTTTTGATCTAATCTACTTGGGCTTCAGCAAGGCTTTCAATAAGGCCCTGCATGGAACACTGATAGCAAAAGTAAGAGCCCATAGGATGAAAGGACATTGGACAAATTGGACTAGCAATTGGCTGATGGCGGGAAGCAAGAGATGATGTTTGAGGGTTGTTTTTCCAATTGGAAGTCTGTGTCCAATGATATCCCACAGGGGTCAGTGTTAGGGCCCCTGTTGTTTGTGGTTTATATAAATAATTTAGACTTGATCAGTAAATTCACAGATCAGACAAAAATTGGTGGGGTGATAAGTTGTGAGGAGGATAGCTTTAGATTGCAGGAGCGTACAGACAGACTGGTCAGATGGTCTAATCAGTGGTAAATTCCATTTACCACAGATGATTGTGATTGGGGCAGTATAAACAATAAATAAATGATGAACAATAAGACTCTAGAAGTAGCAAGGATCAGAGGGACCTTGGGATGCATGTACACTAGTCCCTTAAGGTATTGGGACAGGTGGATAAAGTGGCAAGTGAACGACCCACTTGCCTTTGTTAGAAGACAAATACAGTTTAAGAGCAGAGAGGTTTTGCTGGAACTGTATAAAACATTGGCTAAGCTACAGCTAAAGTGTTGTGTGCAGTTCTGGAATCCATGTTTACAGGAGTGACTTGTTAGCACTGGAGAAAGTGCAGAGGAGATTTGTCACAATTTTGGCTGAGCTGGAGAGTTTTAGTTACGATTGTTCAGTTAGAGATTGGACAGACTGGGGTTGCTTTCCTTAAAATAGAGGAGATTGAGGGGGGACTAATTGAGATGTATAAGATTATGAGAGACGTGGATTGGGTAGACAGGAAGAAACTTTTGTCCTTGATGGAGGGATCGATGAGCATGGGGCATAGATTAGGGTTAGGGGCAGGAAGTTTAGAACAAAGAACAAGAAAATTACAGCACAGGAACAGGCCCTTCGGCCCTCCAAGCCTGCGCCGATCCAGATCATCTACCTAAACCTGTCACCTATTTTCCAAGGATCTGTATCCCTCTGCTCCCTGCCCATTCATGTATCCGTCTAGAAACATCTTAAATGACGCTATCGTGCCCGCCTCTACCACTTCCGCTGGCAACGCATTCCAGGCACCCACCACCGTCTGCGTAAAGAACTTTCCACGCATATCTCTCAAACTTCTCCTCTCTCACCTTGAAATCGTGACCCCGAGTAATTGAGTCTCCCACTCTGGGGGAGAAAGCTTCTTGCTATCCACCCTGTCTTTATCTCTCATGATTTTGTAGACCTCAATCAGGTCCCCCCTCAACCTCCGTCTTTCTAATGTAAATAATCATAACCTACTCAACCTCTCTTCATAGCTAGCGTCCTCCATACCAGGCAACGTCCTGGTGAACCTCCTCTGCTCCCTCTCCAAAGCATCCACATCCTTTTGGTAATGTGGCGACCAGCACTGTACGCAGTATTCCAAATGTGGTCGAGCCAAAGTCCTATACAACTGTAATATGACCTGCCAATTCTTGTACTCGATACCCCGTCCGATGAATGAAAGCATGCCATATGCCGCCTTGACCACTCTATTGACCTGCGTTGCCACCTTCAGGGTATAATGGACCTGAACACCCAGATCTCTCTGTGCATCAATTTTCCCCAGGGCTCTTCCATTTACAGTATAGTTTGCTCTTGAATTGGATCTTCCAAAATGCATCACCTCGCATTTGCCTCGATTGAACTCCCATCTGCCATCTCTCCGCCCAACTCTCCAATCTGTCTATATTTTGCTGCATTCTCCGACAGTCCCCTTCACTATCTGCTACTCCACCAATCTTAGTGTCATCTGCAAACTTGCTAATCAGACCATCTATACCTTCGTCCAGATCATTTATGTATATCACAAACAACAGTGGTCCCAACACGGATCCCTGTGGAACACCACTGGTCACAATTCTCCATTTTGAGAAAGTCCCTTCCACTACAACTCTGTCTCCTGTTGCCCAGCCAGTTCTCTATCCATCTAGCTAGTACATCCTGGACCCCATGCGATTTCACTTTCTCCATCAGCCTACCATGGGGAACCTTATCAAACGCCTTACTGAAGTCCATGTATATGACATCTACAGCCCTTCCCTCATCTATCAACTTTGTCACTTCCTCAAAGAATTCCATCAAGTTGGTAAGACATGACCTTCCCTGCACAAAACCATGCTGCCTATCACTAATAAGCCCATTTTCTTAAAAATGTAAATAGATCCTATCCCTCAGTATCTTCTCCAGCAGCTTCCCCACCACTGACATCAGGCTTACCAGTCTATAATTACCTGGATTATCCTTGCTACCCTTCTTAAACAAGGGGACAACTTTAGCAATTCTCCAGTCCTCCAGGACCTCACCCGTGCTCAAGGATGGTGCAAAGATATCTGTTAAGACCCCAGCTATTTCCTTTCTCGCTTCCCTCAGAAACCTGGGATAGATCCCATCCGGACCTGGGGACTTGTCCACCCTAATGCCTTTTAGAATACCCAACCCTTTCCCCCCCGCACCGCCGAGCCGACTTGACCTAGAGTAATCAAACATCTATCCCTCACCTCAACATCTGTCATGTCCCTCTCCTCAGTGAATACTGACGCAAAGTACTCATTAAGAATCTCACTCATTTTCTCTGACTCCTCGCATAACTTCCCTCCTTTGTCCTTGAGTGGGCCAACCCTTTCTCTAGTTACCCTCTTGCTCCTTGTGTATGAATAAAAGGCTTTGGGATTTTCCTTAACCCCGTTTGCTAAAGATATTTCATGACCCCTTTTAGCCCTCTTAATTCCTCGTTTCAGATTGGTCCTACTTTCCCGATATTCTTCCAAAGCTTCGTCTGTTTTCAGTCGCATGGACCTTATGTATGCTATATGTTTTTGCTAGCCAGAAATTTTATAAGAGTCTGGGGAAAAGGCCCAAATGGAGTTCTGTCACAAATGAAATATGATCTCACTGAATGCCTAAACACCGTGGAGGCCTACTTCTGTTCCTATGTCTATTTTATCTTTTTAGGGGTTAAATTATGAGGACAGCTTGCATAACCTTGTCTTGTATTGCCTTGAGTTTAATAGAGTAGATGGCTGGTTTAAGCAGCATGTTTAAAACAATGAAGAAATTTGACAGGGTGGATACAAAGCAGTTAATTCATTTGGCAAAACAGTCAATAACAAGATAGCCTAGATTATTAGACCTAGAATATATTATAATAGTCAAGAAGCACTTTTCTCTCTTCTCTCTTTTAGATTTGTGGAAATCTGGAATTTGTTCTCCCAAATTGCTTCAGATTCTGGGTCAGTTTTTATTTATTGTTGCTATTAATTGCAGAAAGAGTACTGAACCCCATCAAGTTGCACTTGTAGAAGTGCAGTGCATTGGGCAAATTTTGAACTTAGTTGCATGAAAATTCCATCAGCGCATTGCCATTGTCTTATTTAAGTTTGGGGATTGCTTCTCATTATCCAATAATATTTAGGAGTGAATGCCTGAACTTTGTCTGATTCATGATCACCTACTCCCAGTTGCACTTCGATTACTATTAGACTGTCAGTTGAGCAGTCCAGAGTACAATGCATGGTGACAATTCACAACTGTATTAATGTATTTTATCTATTTCAACGTTACTGCAGATAGACCTTCAGAGATGCCAGAAAAGCTTCTGCAAGAACGATTTCGCAAGCTTAGTCGGTTTCCAGAGGCTTTCTGTTCCATTCAGTACACAGGGACCAGAACATATAATCCTCCAACTGACTTTTCCGGAGTGTTGCAGACCATCGAACAGCAGTTGAACAACAATGCAACTCGATCTCCCAGACCTCCAGGAATCATTTTCAAGGCTTTGAAAGTAGGATATTGAATATTATTTCATAGGACACATTAATTTGGGAGGATCCATAACACTTGCCATCAAAAGCAGCAGAAGGTTTCTTTTTAATTTTAGAACAGCTTGTCTCACAAGTTCATTTCACTTGTAGAAATCTATATCTGAATTTCTAATCTTACTGACCTCTTTATTAATAGTTTGGAATGAAGTATTAGACACACCTGGCAGGGACGAAGGAGGTTTGAAAAAAGTACAGTCCATTGTATCAAAGCTGCGTTACTAGTCTTGTAACTGTTCTCCTGCCGTGTCTGGCTGACATAAATGGGTTGGACTGTGCCACTAAAATAATGTTACTTTAGTTTGCTGCTAACCGGTGGAAACTTGGTTCAGATGGTAACTCGTTTTCCTCATAAGTGCAAAGGTTTTATGTTTATTTTGCATTATTGAGTTGGGCACCCAATGTTTAGCACAGTCTTTATGCCTTTATTAGGCTGCCCTGTTGAGCAGGACATCCACAGGAAGCTGTTGGGAGCCTTCCTTACAGAAGCACTTTGAGCCTGATAATGTCATTAGGTTCTAAACTGACTTCAACTGCAAAAGCTTGATGGGGCTTCACTGTCAGACAGCCCTGCCATTGTTCAGATCCTATGCCATTTTTTTTCCCAATCTTAAGAAAATAACTAGAAAAATTACACAAATATGCTCAGTTTCAAAAAAGGAAGGATTGTCACTATTACACTTGAATGTTTGAAAGTGGACCACACATTTACTAGACCTGTGTAAAACTATGGAACTATGCTGCCCTTAGGCTGGTATTATGCTGAGGGATTAGTTACACAAATCGAACATTCAAGTTTATACCAAGATTCCATTAGTTTTATACTCCTCCTCTAATCAAGGGTAACATTCAATTCTATAGTTGCTTCCTGTACCTGTGTAGTAACTACTTGTGATTGATTTGAGGACACTCGTACCTCTATGTATGGCAGCATTCTACAGTCTCTCCATTTAATTGTTTTTCTTGTTTTTATTTTAAAAATTCTTCCTACTCAAGTGGGCAATATCATATTTTCTCCCATTATACTCCATCTGTAAAATTCTTGCTCTGTCACTTAACCTGTCCATGTCTCTCTGCAGACTCTGTATCATCTTCACAACTTGCTTGTCTACCTATCTGTGTTTCATCTGCAAATTTGTCTACAATGTAGTTGTTGCCTTCATCCAAGTCAATAATATGGATTGGGAATATTTGAGACTTAAGCATTCAAATAGTTAGAGCTTTCCACCTCCAATAACCCATTTAACCAAAGTCTCTGATTTGTGTTAGTTAGACAACTGCTTATGTGTCAAAAATAGCACCCCCAATAGCATGAGTACTTACCTTGTGTAGTAACCTTTTTATGTGGCACGTCATCAAATGCCTTTTAGAAATCCAAGTACCTTACATCGACTTTTCCCTCTTTAAGCACCCTGCTTAATATAGCCTTGAAGAACACTAATAGATTTTTCAAACACTGTTAACCTTTTGTGAAGGCATTTTGAATCTGCCTGGATGTATTGTGATTTTGAAATGTTCTGCTTTTAATGATGGATTCTAGCATTTTCACAATTGCAAATGTTAAACTAACAATTTGTCTGTGGCATGTAGTTTCCTGCTTTCTGAGTCCCTTGTTGCTTGATCAGAAGTTCTGAAAAAAGTTTGTTTTTCTTTAACCTGATAGGATCTTTCCAGAATCTAGGGAATTTTTGGAGTTCACAACCAATGCACCCATTGTCTCTGCAGCCATTTCTGTTAAGACCCTTGGGGCCCAGGCTATCTGTGTGTTCTGCTGCTGAACTTGCATACATTCTTCTGGCTGTAATAATGCTCAGATTGTCATGACTCAATTGGAAAGAGTACGCTGATAATCAAGTCCGATTATTTCACAAGCCTTCACAAATATTTAACTTCCAGTTTAAATCATGGTGACCAACTTGCCTGATCAGTTACTATTCATGACAAAAGTAATTCATGCCGGGGTTTTGTCACGAACAGGAAAGAACTCTGTTGTGAAGTTATTCTGTAACAAATGGGAAAAATAGATTACTAATTCACTACTCTATGATGTAAACTACATTTTTTGAAAACCCCCAAAACACACACACTGATTCACAAGTAAGGCAGACAAAAACAGACACAAATATCATGGGGAAAAACCATATCTGCAGGTAACAGTCCAGACCATGAGAGGAAAGACCTGCTTCTCACCGCTCCCTTGAGTTGTAACAATGATGACATAATGTCTGGAGGTAGATGGTCGATCTTCGATTCGGCAGCCAATCGGGTGGATCTAGGACTTGTATTGGAATTCTTTCTCTTCGGTCTCGGTTACTTTTGTCTTTCCTCACTCAGAAAAGACTTCTAGGTAATTCTGAGTGCACTGCCTTATCAGGCTGTAAAATGGCAAATTTAAAAGGTAGTCCAAAAAGCTGTTGCTCGGCAGTTTTCCCTCAACTCGAAGATTCCTGGTGCTGCTCTGTTTGGTAAAGTATTTGCCTTACAGCTTTGAAAAGTAGCATAATGTTGCATAGCCCAAGGATACTCCAAACGATCCCACTTGACCATCAAGTTGCAAAAACCCTTCTAGTACTTCTAGCCGTATAGCAGTGCGCAACTTCCATTTTCCAGTTTATAATCCAAAAGGAAACATGTGCAGTCACTTACAAGGCCAACAACCTTTTGTTACGAATTGCCAACAAAAATGTTTTGATTAGTCATTTATTTACTTGTGGGACTCACATTTCCTAATGTAACTACAGTAAAACCTTTTAAAGTGTATTAAGATGAATGTATTGTCAAATAGAATAGAGTAGGTGAATGGGATAGATAGGATAATGGCAATTTGGAGAATAAGAATAGTGTAAAGTTCTTTTACTTGTCAATTAGAAGAAGATGAAGAGATTGCATTGAAATTTAAAGATGGGAATTGAAATAGACAATGAATTTTAGACTGGAAAATGAAATTTCTGGATATTATACATCAGTTCAAAGCAGGAAAGTGCCACTGATTTCAGAATCCATTTTTTGTAAAATGTTTTTTAACAATCCGAGGAAGTGAAAGGCATGTGCAAATCAAGAGAATGGAAATAACTAAGGAATGTGGGAGAGCAATAGAATAGGGTAAATTTATGGATTGCTGTCAGAAATGGGCAGTTACAATTAAAAACTCAAAAATTGCAGCTATTTTTCGCTGAATAATTAGAAACAAGAGAGTCAAATAGAAATGCTCAAAATTCAAAAGAAGGTTTCAGCAGAGTAAATGACGGAAATTATTTCCACTTGCTGACCAGTAGTAACAGCAGTCAGTATTTTGTACGTTTCTCAGAGGAGAAAACCTACTGGCATGTTACATTTGTAAAATCTTCTTTTTAGGCTTTGAGCGATCGTTTTAATGGAGAAATTGCAGATGATCAGATGGCTCACAGTTGCTTCTTCCCTGATGAATATTTCACTTGTTCTTGCACATGTCTCAGCTGTGGGTAAGTGATAATATACTTAAGAAAAAGTTAAATTTTGTTTAATGTACATGTAGATTCACCAGAAAAGGCTGATTTTTGTTAATGCACCTAGAGTTGTTCCCATGCATAGCAATGCAAGACAAGTCTAATTAACTATATGAATTGCTTGGAGGTTTAAATTAACAAATTAGGATGACTGGGGCGGAGGTGAGAAAAGGGAATATCTGTAGTGGGATGGAAAGCAGGAGCGCATCAGTGACAAAAGGGATTATGCATGAAAATTGGTGTGGTATTGGGGAAAGTAAAGTAACAAAAAATACGTCTAGAGATGAAACTGGGTAACACAGAATCATCGAAGACTGCTATCCAAAAATAAAAACAACAGAAAATAAAACAAAAAAATGGACCAGAGTTATGATGTGAAATTGTTAAACTCACTGTTGAGTCCAAAAGGCTATGAAGTGCCCATATGAAAAATGAGGCGCTATTCTTTGAGTTTGCATTAAGATTTATTGGGGAATGAAGTCAGAGGTTAGAATGGGAGTGTGGAGGAGAATTTAAATACCAAATACTGTGTTCCTCTTGGGGTCTGAAGGCATGTATTCCAAAAAGCGGTCACCCAAAATGCTATGGAAACCAAATGCATATAGGAGACCAAAATGTGAGCAGTGAATATGGTGTTTAAATTGAAAGAAACATAGGTAAAGTTCTGTTTAGTTTGGACAATGTAATTGGCTCCTTGGGTAGTCTTTTTTAAAAGAAGGATTGAAAGGATGGGAGGGGGACAGGGTGTTGGCAGTGATTGAGAAATGGACCAGGGTGTTGAAGAGAGTGTGGGGGAAGTGAAAGAGAGTACATGTGTTTGCAAACACTGCTTTCTGTTATTTATGTAGATGATTTGGATGTGAATAGAGGAGGCATGGTTAGTAAGTTTGCAGATTACACCAGAATTGTTGAAGTAGACAGCCAAGAAGGTTATCTCGGAGTACAGAGGAACCTTGATCAGATGGGCCGATGGGCCATGGAGTGGCAGATGGAGATTAATCCAGATAAACGTGAGGATGCTACATTAAATGTGAGCAGGACTTATACACTTAACAGTAAGGTCCTGGGGAGTGTTGCTGAAAAAAAGAGACCTTGGAGTGCAGGTTCATAGTTCTTTGAAAGTGAAGCCCTAGGTCCAAGATGGAGGTGGAGTAGGATGCTCCAGCCAGAACTTGTCTGCTCTGTCTTTTCCTCTTCCTCTTTCTTTTTCTCTCTCGCTCTCTCTCGCTCTCTTTCTTTTGTCTTTTTCCTCTACTGCCAATGACCTGGAGCTGGGTGAGAAGGCAGCCAGCAGCTGGAATAGTGACTGTGGGTGTGGAGTGGAACATGGACCACCAGTGGAGTGGGGACATCTGGTAGGGCTGGGGCAACAGCCCTGAATGAGGGAAACCAGTGTATCTGGAACGGAGTGGGGTTAGCCGGGGGTCTGGAGTGGAGTGAGGGCAGCTAGATACCTGGAACAGGTTTGGGACAGTGGCCAGTGGGCCAGGAGCAGAGATGGCTTACTGGTTGGGACCCAGTGGACACTGGGCAGGACATGTGGAAAACTTACAGAAAGACTGTAATGTCTGTCTTTTTAGCTTTTTCTTGTTTTCCTAACTTGTACCATGTATATCTGTACTGTAGTGTTGCTTTTTTATATATTTTCTCTCTCTTTGTTGTAAGATTTGTACCTAGGTACTTTGTACCCAAGATGGTGCCATGTGTTGGCGACATTGTAAACTTTTCACTGTACTCCTATTCTTTTGCAACATGGCAGTAAACCTAATTCTAAGGTAGACAGGATAGTGAAGATGATGTTTGGTACACTTTTTTTTTTTCCTTTATTGGTCAGTGCATTGAGTATAGGAATTGGGAGGTCATGTTGTGGCTGTACAAGACATTGGTGAGGCCACTTTCGGAATACTGCATTCCGTTCTCGTCTCCTTGCTATAGCAAAGATGTTGTGAGGCTTGAAAGGTTTCAGAAAAGATTTACAAGGATGTTGCCAGGGTTGGAGTGTTTGAGCTTTAGGGAGAGGCTAAATACGCTGGGATTGTTTTCCCTGAAGCATCTAAGGCTGTGGGGAGACCTTATGGAAGTTTACAAAATCGTGAGGGGCATGGATAAGGTGAATAGCCAAGGTCTGTTCCCCAGGGTGGGGGCAGTCCAGAACTAGAAGGCATAGGTTTAAGGCAAGAGGGGAAAGATTTAAAAGGGACCACACAGAGGATGGTGCATATTTAGAATGAACTATCAGAGGAAATGGTGGAGACAGGTACAAATATAACATTTAAAAGGCAACTGGACAAGTATATGAATAGGAGGGCTTTAGAGGGACATGGGCCAAATGCTGGCAAATGGGACTAGATTAATTTAGGATATCTGGTTGGCATGGATGAGGTAGACCAAAACGTTTTTTTTTCTTTGCTGTACATCTCTCTGACTCTAAGTGGCATCATGCTGGAGATGGCAGAAGTGGCCTAGGATGATTCAGTGGACCTCTAGGCTGGTGGGGTGGAAAGTGAGGACAAGGGATCTCTGTCATAGTTCTGAGGATGTAGGAATCGCATGAAATCATTATTGCAGAGAAATGATAAAGACATGACTGAGGATTCTCTGGTTGCATAGTCAGAACAAGTATGTTACAAATGTGAAATCTACAAGATTGGCTTGTTTTAAACTACCTCTTTAATCAGAAATAAAATGGGGGTAGTGAAGAAAACCATGTAATCTACTCTGAATTCTGCCCAACGTTTTTATGGGGTTGGGGTTCGAGATCAAGTGTTATTAATAATGGCAAAGTGTGAAATGTTCAAACCTGAAACAAAGGAAAGGGCAGCTGGGCCTAACTGTGGGCAGACTTTCTGTCCCCAAGTTTTCATACAGAAAAGAAAATGAGAGACAAAAAGATGAAACTAGTGCAGTCAGTAAAGTACATGTCTTTTCTGTGGAGAACAGGCCGCATGCTGGAGTGAAGATTTTTTTTTGGTTGAAGAGGTGCAACCATGGTGATCAGATGAATTTGAAAAATTCATCCTGACTTGACTAGGGCAGAAGAGAATCAGTAGCCTGTCTCCTCTTTATTCAGCTCAAGACTTTGCCAAAAACTCAGAACCACCTCTTAGCAGTCACTCAACATTAAAATTTAACTAAGTGTGGAGAGGTAAACTTGTAAATTTGATGTGATGATGGCTTGGTTCTTCTGGAAACTGTAATTTTGTGGAAAAGTAGGCAGTGAAGTATTAGTAGCCTGGAGATTTTGCTGTGTTGAAAGATTAAAAAAGACTGTCTTTTCTGTAGCTTTAAAAGACTTATTTGACCATTAAGTAAGATTTAGTTGAGCTGCTTTATAGTTTGTTATGGTAGAAGTCTTAAAACTTGAGTGCAGTAATTGGGGATTCATTTCTCTTGGGCTGAGAGGTTGCTGTGGGATCACAAAATAAACAACAAAACTTGGAAAATGGAACAGAATCCTTGCAAGAATTTGGATATGAGAAAGAGTAGTCAAGGTAGCTATAGGGGTCTGACCTCATTGTGAATTTTGATTGATAGCTTTTCCCTGGGAATGTAGACTGAGAAGTTAGGGAAGGGAGGGCAAGAGCCTGAGTTGCATGATTTGAAGGTGATGGAATGGTAAAAATTGGAAGCAAGTTTTGATGAAATTCTCTGTTTAAAGTTGAGAGCATGAAATAATCAATTTACTGGAAACAGGTGGAACAAAGAATGTGTGCATCCTGCAAAACGACAGGCGTAGCTGGGACCTGTACAGACCCTGTACAACATCTTTTATTTGGAGCAATTGAATACAGGTGAAAATAAAATTGCTGTTTAATGTGAGAAAATGTTCAGCCAGTTGAAGGAGGATTATGGTAGATACTAAATAAATACCAAAAGAACTGCAGATGCTGTAAATCAGGAACAAAAACAGAAGTTGCTGGAAAAGCTCAACGGGTCTGGCAGCATCCATGAAGAGAAATCAGAGTTAATGTTTCTGGTCCGGTGACCCTTCCTCGGAACTGATGGTAGCTGGGAAAACATTGGTTTACATGCAGAAAATAGGGAGGGGGATGGGGTAGGGAGTAAACGATAAGATAGAGCCCAAAGAGAGAGAAGAGCAGTTGGATAGACAAAGGAGTTGATAATGATCTGGCTAGGAGGGTGAATAGCTGTTAATGGAGACTGTTAGTGACCAACATTAGGTGGTGTGTAATGGCAGACTATGTGATAACAAGGCCTGGTGTATGGGGTAGGGGGCTAGGACATGGGAGAGTTTAGGACCTAAAATTATTGACCTCAAAATTGAGTCTGGAGGGCTGCAGGGTCCCCCAAGTGGAAAATGAGGTGGTGTTCTTCCAGCTTGTGTTGAGCTTTGCTGGAACACTGCAAGCCAGAGACAGATGTTGCCCAGGGAACAAAGTGGTGCATTAAACTGGCAGGCAACAAGTAGTTCAGGGTCTTTTTTTGCGAGCAGAACATGAATGTTCTGCGAAGCGGTCACCCAGTCTATGCTTCGTTTTCCCTAATGTAGAGGAGACCACATTGTGAACAGTGAATGCAGTAGACTAGATTCTAGCAAGTGCAGGTGAAGCATTGCTTGACCTGGACAGTATGTTTGGGTCCTCGGATGGTGGGGAGGGAGGAGGTAAATGGGCAGGTGTTGCACCTTTGTTGGTTACAGGGGAAGGTGATTGGGGTTTTGTTGGGGGTGAAGAAAGATTGGCAGGGGGTGGGGAACTGGATTTGTCATTCAGAGGATGAGGTATTCAGCCTTCCAACAGACACAACAGGGAGTGAGGTTGTTGATAAAGAAATGCAGTTGATGAAGCATAATTGTGGACACAGGGATGGTTTGAAGTGTGTATACTTCAATGCTAGAAGTATCAGAAATAAGGCGGATGAACTTAGAACATGGGTCATGGACTATGATGTTGTGGCCA